CAGAACCTTTTACAAACAAAATTATAAATTAAAACCTCTACTATTGTATTAAGACAAACAAATTAAAAAAAAAGACAATTATTTCTGACATAAAATATTTATTTTGTATTTACAAAAGAACTATGGAAAATTGATACATCAACACATTTCTTTCCAAATGAAAGTTGTTATTTACACTGGTGAATTCTATCTAAGATATACATCTTTTTCATTAAATGTCAATACTTCAAAGCATAAAGCCTGACTAATAAAAAAAATATGAGTAAAAAAAGTAAGTTCTATTGTCTAATAATCATACATGCATACATTTGAATTTTAAGGCTAAGTAAAGCTTTCTATTTCTCATCTTGTACAAAAGAGAAGGTTCAATAAAGCCCCAATATGACCCCTACTACTACCTATAATTACAAATTATTATTGAATGGCCTTTATTACAATGCATCACAGTTAAAACAATGAATAGATAGGAGAAATGCTGTTTTTTTTATCTATTAATTTATCGGCATTTTTTTCATGAAATAAAAATAAGTATAACTTTCATTTCCTACCAATTAAAACAGGCTAATTTCAATAGGTTTTTATGCATCATCTTCAAAAGCTTTTCAGCCTGAAATAATTTACTTCAAATTGGGACATAATAGGGCACTTACCACATCTACTCCTTTCAGAATAGAAATAGCAATTTCACCATTTTTAAAATAATCACAGAATGAATTTGTCAAAACACTGACTGAAGCAATTAAAATATTATTTACAAATATTTTGTTTTATATTTACATTTATACAATTGTGAACATTATATATATTGCACTGCTATACATAAACACTTAGTTTTCAAAATAATCATGATTTTTTTGTGTGTTAAAGTTAAAAACAGAATTCCATGCAACAGAGGCAAACTATAGTACATCAATGCAGATGATATTTTGCTTCATACAGACATCTGCTAAAACCCTCAATTCATAAGGAAGTCAAGACATAGAAGTGGTGTCAGTATGTCTTCCTTCCATGTTTAATTGGAATGTCTAATAACACCATAACATATCCATTACAACAATAAGCCAAACTAAGTATCAGCTTCAAAGCTTTTAAAATTTTATATCCATTGGGCCAAAAATAAAATTTAAATTGTTTGATGTTGCCTACCTACCCCGAAAAATTTTATGACACAAACTGTTTCCAATTTTTTTTTAAAAGATTTTTTCCTGCTTTAACGTCGTTTTCTTGTCTAAAACATGTAACAAAGAATTTTTTAAGGGTGGCCTTGCATTCAATCAATTCAGATTTTAAATTAAGAAATGCCTTTTCACCTTTGTGTCAAATTATACATTCATACCATTTCAACAACATTAGTTTCTAAGATATTGGCCAAGATAAAACGGTTTAAAATGATACATTACTAACATGTTCATTGATATATATATTCCATTTTGCTTTAAAAAATAAACTCATGAAGTAAAATTTGATAAAGTCACTACAGCTTTAACTCAAATCATTGTGACTTCTATATTGCAGAGCTGTCTTTACAAAAGGGCAGCAGTAGAATGATTTATTACTACAGATATTTCTAAAGTCACTCAAGAACAACACTTTGTGATAGTGACTGAAATTTTGCTGTATAGCAACTTACCGTAGATACTCGACTAATAGTCGATCCTACTATAAGTCGGGGGCCCTTTTCAGCTCCAAATTCTAAGGATTTAGTCTTGACCCTCGTATAAGTCGGACAAAATTTGGGCATTTTTTTTTCAGCTGACAGTAACTGAACGCCGGTAAAACCAATGCAAATCCAGGAATAATATTCATTTCTGCATTAATGTTTGTTTGGTTTGAATTTAGTTGATGCTCATCATGATAATTTATATTGCTGTTAATAATAAAGATGTATTCATTTCTCTTGTTTTGTTCACTGTTCAAATGTTAGATTAGCCATGTGTTGTTTACATAATGCATCAATGATTTTGTAGGGTATGACTAATAACCTATTGTTTGAGAAAAGCGAATATAAACCAATATGAACCTGAAAAATTTAAAGTCAATCAAGACTTGATGAAAACATTTTTCACAGCATACATACACTTGGTGTTAAATGAGCATGTACACTTCATAATTCTTATTATATTGTGATGATTAAAGGATTAAAAAAATTAAGTGAAGCTAATCAATATATTAAAATAACTAACTCCAACTCATTAGTGTCATCTGTTTACCTATCACTGATAGTTTTCACACCTTTAGTAAATACAACTCTTTGTCTCTTAATTGGGGTTATCAATGGATTATATTGGCTTGTCAATCAATTTTGTAATTTTTGTTTACCTGAGACACTTTAATGAATAATATTTTGATTTTGGGAATGAATCTTAAAATTATTTTTTGATTATTATATGATTTATAAGCATTGAATTGATATCATGATATCACAATAATGACACAATAACTCCGCTGAAAACATCCTTTCACATATTTGGTACATTGTTATCTCCTTTTCATTTTTGGTTCTTGGCTCTTCTTTTGGGTTTATAGGAAAACCATGTGACCATGAAAATCAATACACAAACCGGAAACAGTAGAATTTCAACACGAATTTGCAGAAAATGTTTACCAAAGAACAAATAAAACACAAAGACAGTATTGTAGTCATTTATTTTCAACAAAAACTTTTTATTTATTGATTTATGTAGGTTTGGCAATCAAAAACGTAGTTTTGACCAGGAAATTCACTCCTGACCACTTTTCTCAAGCTTGGATTTTTCCTCTGGTCGCTAGATCTCGTCTATTAGTCGCCCCCCCTCTCTGGATTATGAATTTTACTCCCAATTTTCCGACTAATAAGCGAGTAGGAACGGTAATAAGAGAGTGAAATATTATACATAGCTACAAGTTTCTGGGCATTAAACTTGACACAAAACATGCTGTAGTCATTTCATTAATAGCAACACAAATTTGGCAGTACAGTGCTCATTAGAAGATGGTTTATCTATCAAATGTTCCTATGAGGTTCATTACAGACAAATATAAAAAGTACAATTCAGTAATAAAAATCAGTTTTGAGGTCTTAAACCCGTGGTCGATGTGTGACAATCCTGACATTGGTGTTCCTATTGAATGTCTGTATGTGGTTGTTAATTGCCGCCAACATATAATCCTCCATAGCTGGTTGTGGATGTTGTGGTTTCTTGTATCTTCCCATATTTTGTGGCAAGGGAGTCTTTAGCGCAGGACGTCTTCTCTTCTCCAAGGCTGATAAGTAGTTGATCCACCAAAGTTCATCTTCTCTATTTAGTTTACCATTCTTTACCCATTTTGGTAGATCTGTTCTCATCAACAGAATGATACCACTAATTTTTTCCATATTCGGTTCTACCAACCATGAGGAATGTCAGCTTGATCTGTCAAAAAAAACATAAATAGATATAGATTTGAAATAAGTAACTAATGCTTCAATTCCAATTCTCATATAGTTCAAATAAAATTACATAGATGCCAACCCTTTTTTGGTGCAGGATAATAACAGAAAATCAAGTCTCAATATGATCACCACAATATCTAGTGGGGACTGTTCTGTTCAACACAAATAATTAACAGAACAAAAACAAGCAAAATATGGACTATAGCACGTTATGGTCTATGGTCGGGAAATAATTCCAATTACTGAAAATCGTAATTTTTGGCATCTATACATTTTACTGACAATTTACAAACTTGACATGCTGCTCAAGGCAGTGTCACTGATCAAATGATCAAGTTGAACTCTTAATCTGTGTTTTTAAATGAACTTTAGAATTTCAGTACATTTTAAGCAATTGAATCAATTGTGATTTTTAGATTCTGTGACATCTGACCTACTATAAGGTCATACGACTAGCACTTTTGCTTTGTTATGTGAAACATTTTCTCTTTTGATGATATAATTTTATAGGAAATTTTGTGAAATTTTGTAATGACAAACATATACATGATATAGTGATAAAGTGTTTAAATTTGCAATAAACGAATATTGGAACTAAAAATGTTTTGCATGCTGTAATATCTTAATTTAACAGTAACTGGAAGTAAGCATAACAAAAAATCATACATGTATGCAAAAGAACTTCTATAATAATATTCAAATACCAAATTTTGTTACCATGGTAAGTCCATCTATCAGTAAAAAAATGCAAAAGAATAAAATAAATAATTACCTTTTTTACAATTTCCATTTTCATCAATATTGCTAGGAACATTATCACAAATTTATTTTTGTTGTCATCAGTTTGAATATAAAGTGTAGGAGGTAAACCACCATTTTCCTAAAAGAAAAAAAGTGAAACAGCTATACATATTATATATTCATGATATCTTTACAATAAAAAGTTTTCAAATCCTTTAATACTGAACAAGACATATTACCTAGCATATAAAGTATGCCAAAGTTAAAGTAACACAGCTGAATTTTAAGAAAAGATGTATTTTCAACAATGTTAATTTATGGTGAAACTGCATGAATAAATTGTTTCATTTCACCTCTTATCATGAGATAGGCAATTTGTTCTCCACTTTTTCAGTGAATTTATCATATTTCTTCGAAAAAAAATAAAAGACTAAAATGACCAGGTTGCACACATTGTTTCTTAAACAATGGAGAATGGTCTATGGGTATCTGGGTTGAAAACTGTAGGAGTTGATTACACAAAAACTTGTACCCTCTTTCATAAATTTTGCTGAAAAAATGACTAAGTTTCCAAGTCTGGAAAAATGAGAAAAAATTCCTCAAACAATTCCATAATAGCAGGTGCACAACTTTCACATATGTGCAATCTTCCTGTGAAGTTTCAGGGATCTGGGTTGAAAACTATAGGTGGAGTTGATTACACAAATTAGGTACCCACTTTCCCCCCCCCCCCGCCTGCCTGCCCATCATCACCATACTATAATCCGGTTTCCCGGCCAAAAATTTTGCTTATATTTCCATAATATTTTACTTAATTTTTGGTTTAAAGAAAACCATTAAATACCACAGAAAATAAAAATGCAATTGAAATTTATAGACTATATTATTAATAATGTTCATGCATATAGATGTTCATGCATTTAGATATATATATAATTCAGAAATGTGAATGTGAAAATAATCCTCCATCAAATGAGATTTACATAGTGTTCAAGTGCAAAAGTAAACAAAATAGACTTTCAGAATTGTTTTTTAAAACTATCAGGGTCAGCAAGAGATTGACACAAGTATGCTGTTGGTTTTCTTTTTTGAATTTGTTTTCCATTTTGTCATCACATGGCATTTTAGCTAAGTATAGGGTATGGGTTTTGCTCACTGCAGAAGGCCATACTTTGACCTGCAATAGTCAACATCATTGTCCGTTAGTCTTTATGCATAATTGTTTCATTGGCAATCATACCTATCCTTATTTTTATATGAAATATATAGCAACATTACACCCACCACATCTGTCAATGACTTTTAAGTATTGATTTTGAGAAAAGCCTACAAAGCAGGGTTAAGAACAATACTATAATTGTATTCATAAAAGAAAAGCAATTATAGGCCTATCCTCTTATGATGTTTATCATAGTCATGAAAATGAAGCCACCAAAATTTCATACTGATTTCCATACTTGTTGCAAACTTGGCACCACACAGTCCAATAATGAAAAGTTCATATAAGTTTATAACTGTTAGTGATATCGATGTATCCAACTTTAAGGGTTTTAAAGCAACCTTGTCAAATTATTATTTCCAATTTAATATGATATGCTAGATTGGACTCATCTGTTATTTTTCATGACTTTATCATGTGAACTCTTTGGATAGTTGTCTCATTGGCAATCATACCACATCTCTTAATTTTTATATTGTAGATGGTTCTTTGATGTTTAAAATTAATGGACTAAAAGTGGCTTCCATACACTTTGACTTTCTTGTAGATACATAAATTGTAAAGTTAATAAAAATGTGTTTTTCTCCTGCATGTGAACTTTACATCGCCTAACACAGACATCAAACAATTCAAGGTGATATTACAATCAGAGGAAAACTGATCTGTCCATGTAAATGTGTATGCCTTATTTAATCCGTGACATAAAACACCTGTGACATGGTGGTGCATTTTTTCAAGTGTTTCATTCTGAAAAAAAATTTGTTGAAAAACATGTGCTCATAACTCAAACCAGAATGCACTCACAATTCAAAATATTGGCAAACAGGGAGTAGTTATCTGACATATCTGAAAGGTGCACACTTAACAACTCATCTCTGTTGAGCTGCTGACCAAATAAAAAGTCATTGTGTTCAGTAGTTTCTGAGAAAAATGTGACAAAAAAGGTTAAGTTCATTCAAATATTGAAAAATTCAAAGTATTAGCAAACAGGAAGTAGGTATCTGACAGATCTTCAGATGCTTCACATATCACAAGTCATCACTGTCAAGCTGCTGACCAAATATGAAGTCATTCTGTTTAGTAGTTTCTAGAAAAGTTTAACGAAATATTTGTTGTACAAACAGATAGACAAGGTGATACCAATATAGCCCCCCTTCTAGAATGGTATATTTGTCTCATACAAAATGCCTAAAAGAAAATAAATACTGCTAGAAGTTTTTTTCCTGTCAGAATGTTTATTTTAGCTACACATCCAGTTAGTTCATATGATTGCTGCTTCGCCTTAAGTTAATCAATCATTTAATAACAAGTAAATATAGTACTAAATAAAATGTCAACACAGAGATAGGTTTCCCATGTGTGACCTTATCACAAATTCTAACATTTGCCTGACATTCGTAGCAAAATTAAAAGAGACCATTCGAATGATATACCAAATATTTGTAAAAGTGATTTTATAAAGTACAAATATGATTAATCTAACACTGTCAACCCGTTTTCAATATTGAAATTGATTATTGCAGTGAAATATCATGTTATTTTCAGAAATATACATTAAAGTAACTACCATGAAATGTATTATGTAAGAAGTATGTAGTGATGTATCATCCCAGTGGTCAGACCAGATAACCTAAATCTAGTTGTATAGACATAATGGACTTTGCAATTTTATACACACTTCCAAAATAAACTCACCTTAAAATGTAACGTAAATCTTGGCAGATTTGTTTTGGACTGATCCATATTGTCACTGATAACAGATGTATACATGCTTGGATGTTCTTTGGATTTCTTGATGTGTTTAAAATATTTTTCTCTGCAGAGACTGAAAAAAAAATCAAAATATATACAATATACCCACAAATGGCAGAATTTCACTGATGCACCACTATCAATACACCCCAAAACTCAAACGGGTTTTAAAGTTAAGAGAAAAAAAATGTATTTAAAAAAAATAAATATGCACATGGATGCACGACTAAGTTGCGCAAATTCTATGACCATGACTTCCTTATACCCAACACACCTTCTAGAAGTGGTGATTAATCATGCCAGGTTTCATTACCCAACATCAAGGTGTAGTGCAAAAATCAGTAAAGACCCATCGAAACAACATCTGATACACAAATTTAATAATACTTTTAGATATTTGGATGATATTTTGGCTCTCAATAATGACGACTTCAGTATGTATACTAAAGAAATTTATCCTGTTGAACTTACTTTAAATAAAGCTAATACTAACAATGACCACTGCCCTTTCCTCGATCTTGATATCTATATCATTAACGGAAAGCTTAATACTAAAATATATGATAAAAGAGATGATTTTTCATTTCCTATCGTTAATTATCCATTTTTAGATGGTGACGTTCCCTTGTCACCATCTTACGGTGTTTATATATCTCAACTTGTACGATTCGCTCGTGTATGTAACAATGTTTTAGATTTTAACGAGAGAAATTTATGTATTACTGAAAAATTGTTACACCAGGGTTTTCGATATCACAAACTAGTCAAAACATTTACTAAATTTTATCATCGGTATAAGGACATCATTCGTAAATATAGCTCAACATGCAGACTTCTTACACGTTCAGGTATTTCACATCCAATTTTTTATGGAAATATTCTTTATAAAGCACAAAAATGTCAGTATTCACCTCTGAAACTAACAAAACCGTTAAATAGACTTATTAAGAAGGGATATAGTTACGATACTGTTGTCAGGTCATTAAAGATTGCATATTTTGGCGTTAATATTGATTCACTTATAGGGTCTTTGCATCGGCACTAAACACATTTATTTAAAAACCAGTTGTTGGCATGACACGGGTTATGTTCTTCTCATATATGTTATGATGGTATGATACTAAACCCCTAAAGGGAAGGATTGTGCCTGATATTCATATGATGAAGACATAATCTTTCAATCAGTTTATTGAAGTCTGGAGCTGGCATGTCAGTTAACTGCTAGTAGTCTGTTGTTATTTATGTATTATTGTCATTTTGTTTATTTTCTTTGGTTACATCTTCTGACATCAGACTCGGACTTCTCTTGAACTGAATTTTAATGTGCGTATTGTTATGCGTTTACTTTTCTACATTGGCTAGAGGTATAGGGGGAGGGTTGAGATCTCATAAACATGTTTAACCCCGCCGCATTTTTGCGCCTGTCCCAAGTCAGGAGCCTCTAGCCTTTGTTAGTCTTGTATTATTTTTAATTTTAGTTTCTTGTGTACAATTTGGAGTTTAGTATGGCGTTCATTATCACTGAACTAGTATATATATTTGTTTAGGGGCCAGCTGAAGGACGCCTCCGGGTGCGGGAATTTCTCGCTGCATTGAAGACCTGTTGGTGGCCTTCTGCTGTTGTCTGTTCTGTGGTCGGGTTGTTGTCTCTTTGACACATTCCCCATTTCCATTCTCAATTTTATTTTTATGTTAGGAAGCGTAAACTATCTTTATACCTATGCATAGGGGTGACTAAACTAAAGAACCTGTGTCGCTCACCTAGGTCTATGTGCATCTTCAACAATGGACATTCTCCAACATTGTAGACTAAAATAGAATTTATGACAATAATCTCTTTTTTGTTGATATTGTATTGCTGATCATTTTTCTGTTGATAGTTTCTCTCCATCTTCTTTAGTTTTTGCCCAAAACACAAAAAAGGGTAAAAAAAACAGTAATTTAAGGGCAATCACTCATATAAAGTGTCTACTAAAGATTTCAGCAAAATTTAACTTGTTTGTAGATCTTGTCTTGCTAATCATTTTTGCTTTTTAAAGTGTATCTATCTTTTATAGTTTTCAAGATAATAGGCAAAAACACTAAAAATTGGTAAATATCGCCATTTAAGACCAATAACTCCAATAAAGAGTCAACTGACGGTTTTGATGTAAATGGACAGAAGGTAGATCACAACATTCTGAACATTTCTGCCCTGTCAGATTTATCTCTATTAATAGCAGTTTGCAAGATAATAGACAAAACTGGCATTTTTTCCCCTATGTTCTATTTTAGCCCTGTCAGCCATTTTGGTTGGCAGGCATGGTCATTGACCACCTTTTTTATACTAAATACCCCAATGATGATTGTGGCCAAGTTTGGTTAAATTTGGCCCAGTACTTTCAGAGGAGAACATTTTAATGAAAAACGACGGACGACAAGTGATGAGAAAAGCTCACTTTGCCCTTTGGGTCAGGTGAGCTAAAAATGGGGATGTATCTGCATTAAACATGAAAAATACAAGAAATTCATATTCAAGTGTGGAAAGAATTCTTACTATTGAAGAAGCATATGTGCTCTAGATCTTCTCTTGTCCTTCAACACCCCAAATCAATCTTTGTCAGTTTTTCGCTGATGGTCTCTTTCAAGATTACACACTCGTTACATTTGCTGAGCTTCTGATACTACAAATAAAAAATTCGTAAGAGGTTCTGCGGAACTCTGTGTCTCGCCTGCTGTTGCTGCCGTCAGTGTAAAAGTGTAATGTTGACTTAAAAAGTGAGTCCATTTATCAGTAAATCACAGAATTTAAAAAAAAAAATCAAACTTTTTCTTTAGATGCTTTTTTCATGGTCTTGAAGATTAGCTTCTGTCCAAGTTACATAACAATCTATGAAGGTTTACAAATTTATCATGTCAAAAAAGTTGAATCCCAAACTGTCTGTAAATGTGAACTGTAAAAAACTAAGTCCATCTATCAGAAAAATACTGAAAATGAAAAAAATATATTTTCAAAAGTTTGCTTCAGACATTATCTCTTAATCATAAAAAAGCTTCAGCCAAAGTTTCATAAAATTCTATGAAGGTTTGATAAAGTAATTGATGTGTAACAAACTTTAACCCCAGTCTGTATCTATTTGTTAAATGTAAAAATAACTAAGTCTATTTATCAGTAAAATACACAAGTCCATTATCAGTAAAATACAGAAAAATGAAAATAAATATTTTCAAAATTTTGCCCTGGATACTGTCTTTTGGTCATAAACAAGCTTCTGTCCAAATTTCCTAATATTCCATGAAGGTTTGACAAAATTATTGATGACTGAAAAACTTTAACCTCAGACTAAATCTGAATGTTAACTGTAAAAAAAAAACTAAGTCCATTTATCAGTAAAATACGGAAAAATGAAAATAAATATTTTCAAAATTTTGCTCTGGATACTGTATTTTGGTCATAAACAAGCTTCTGTCCGAATTTCCTAAAATTCCATGAAGGTTTGACAAAGTTATTGATGTCTAAAAGAACTTTAACCACAGACTGAACCTAAATATTGACGCCGCCGACGAAGGAATCTAGGATCGCTATGTCTCGCTTTCGCGACATAAATGTCGCAGGCTCAACAAAAAGGACATCTATTTAATTCTATGTACAATTATTAATTTATGCATGAATGGACATTTTTTTTATATGACGGAAGTGTTAACTATCTGCCATAAAGCAGGAGGTATGATATAAATAGCCTTTATCAGGCCAATGAAATTTCAAAAAAGTTAAGTTATTCAAGACTTACAACATTAAGTTCATTTTTTTTTATAAATAAAAAGGTTGAAATATAGTAATTATTTTAATTTTTGAAGGCCTAAGGTGACCTTTAGTTGCTTAAATCCATGTTATTTGGACTCTATAGGATAGTTGTTTCATTGGCAATCATACCACATTACTTATTTTATACTTGAGTGCAGAAAGGAAATTTTTTTTCATAAACATGTTGACATTAACATATTTGACCATTTAACACATAGTTTTTGGACAAAATTGATGTCTGTCATGACTTTACCCAAAAATATATTTTATACACATTAACATCTTTGTAAAATACATTTGATAGCATATGTTTTTAGGTAAAGCATTGGCATAATTACTGTTGAGATGTGTCAGACCTTGATGATTTCCTATTTTTCAGATATGATTTAGACATCTGCATATTTTGTTATCAAATTTTTACTGATTATACCTTGAAATGAATTTCAATGAATTTAAGAGCCATTATTGACCCTTCATCATGTTCATAAACCAACACCTTTGTTCTGAATATTATTCCATACAAACCTTTGGAATTTTAACATGATGAAACTCTTCACTCCACATTCCATAGAACCTTGGGTAAGACAAATAGGGGATTCTAAATTCTCACAGGAAGATTTATAATCCGTCCAAACTTGTAGAATAGAGAGACATGATGGAAAATGTATTTCTAGTATGTCAGGCTGATCATCACCATATCTCTTGCATAGACCAGACACAAAACTCTTTGCTTCAAGGTACTGGCGACTCTTGTATTGTTGGCTACATCTTTTATCAGAACTGTCTAAATCTTCGTTAGTAGACAAACATTTCTTTTTCATGTAGTAATACCTGAATGTTATAAATGTTAAAAATATTACAGGGCTTATACCACTCCTAATTCATGTGTTTTTTTCTTCGGTTATTTGGGATCCATTTGACCAATCCTTTTATTGAAATTTTGTCTTTGTCATAACAAACATTTTTCAATTTGTTTTAACTGTGGAAATTGAACACCGTTCAAGTAAATTGTTAAAAAAAAACCTCCAGACTGTACCTTAACTTTTACTTAAAAATGCTAAAAGACCAAAAGACAAACAACAGTATACAAAACACAACATAGAAAACTAAAGACTGAGCAACACGAACCCCATCAAAAACCGGGGGTGATCTCAGGTGCTCCGGAAGGGTAAGCAGATCCTGCTCCACATGTGGCACCCTTGGTATAAATTACATGAGTGTTTGACAAAAGTTATTTATGTCTAAAAAATGGAGCCACAGACTGAGCATACTAGGGGGAGGGTTCAGCCAGCTCGAATATGTTTAACCCTGCCACATTCTTTATGTGCCTGTCCCAAGTCAGGACCCTGTAAATCAATGGTTGTTGATTGCTGTCTGTCATATTTTGTTTTTGTTTATTGCTTTAGCATAAATTAGGCTGTTGGATTTCTTGTTTGAATTGATTCACATTCTGTGAGCTTTTATAGCTTACTATACAAAATGGGTTTTTCTTTGTTAAAGGCCTTACAGTGACATGTAGTTGTTTGCATCCTCGTCATGGATAGTTGTTTCATTGGCAATTATACCACATCTCCTTTTTAAATACAAATGTTGTATATATTAAAAATTAACCAGGCAAACTACAACAGAATGTTGAATCGCTACTTTTGATGTTGGGTTGCTGTCTTATGGATGTGTAGCCTATTAACTATTTTATTCATACTAATATGGTATTATACCTCCTTCTTTTTATGCCATACACAATCCTCCATGCATATTCACATACTCTCCTACCAGTCAGCACAAAAGTCAACTGTTTGTCTTCTAAACTGGCATCATTGCACCTGTGTACAAAAATAAAAAACACTTGGAAAAATGTAAATAGATCTCAAGAACACATGTTTTCATCTGATCTGAAAGAAATGAGTAAAATTTATAAAGGATATCCCTACATTATTTGTATGTATCATGAGACATATTATTTTTTAGAAAATAAACACCATAGTTTGTTCTTGTGTTGTGTCGTTGCACCATTGTCCCAGGTTAGGGGAGGGTTGGCGCTTTCAAACATGTTTAACCCCGCCACATTATGTATGTGCCTGTCCCAAGTCAGGAGCCTGTAATTCAGTGGTTGTCGTTTGTTGCTGTATATCATATTTGTTTTTCGTTTATTGTTTTGTACATAAATCAGGCCATTAGTTATCTCTTATGAATTGTTTTACATTTTTCATTTCGGGGTCTTTTATAGCTTACTATGCGGTATGGGTTTTGCTCATTGTTGAAGGCCGTACGGTGACCTATAGTTGTTAAATTCTACGTCATGTGGTCTCTGGTAGAGAGTTGTCTCATTGGCAATCATACCACATCTTTTTATTTTTCTACCAGAAGTCTGCTATCTTTGTTGCAGACAAAACAAAAAAATATTATTGGTTTGGTGGTTTAATATGGTTTTCTCAACCAAATTATAGCATGTTATATAGCATTATGAAATTGTATAAATCCAAGTATTGTTGCATATCAAACAATCAAATAAATTCTATTCATATATATATATATTGAGTATACCTTATGTTTCACTCAATGAAATCTGACTGTTCCTCATGGGTCTTTTTATACAACATAGCTTGACAGGTCTGTATTGTCTGAATGTTACTGGTACTTAAACATTTTTTCTCACAAGGCTGTTTATAACATTGAAGTCAGTCTCCTTGTCTTTTAATACCTTTGATGTTTTTTCATGTTTCCTGGCTAAAATTAAAAAGAATAAAAGATAAAGTTGTTTGGAGAAATATCAGAGCCTTGCAATTCTAAAAAAATACTTGCCAGTCTATTCTATCTAAAAACCATGACCAAGGTTTGGGGAACAGACTTTTTTTAAATATCGCCTGGTCTTAAATGGAAAGACATGATTCAAAGTCTCATTGATACATATGTCAAATCTTTTATTCAGTGACAATATAACAAACTTTCCTTTTTTGAGAAAAAAGAAAACTTGAAAAATTATAAATTTACTCAGATAACTCTAATTTCAACATTAGTGAACAGTAGATAGTATTGACGTAAAGTCAGATAAGTCTTTTTCAACATAAGTGTATATGTTGGATAAATATAAATTTTTAATGGGTTTGGCGTAATCATGTGTCTCGCCTACTATTGCTGCTGTTGATGTTAAAGTGTGAGGTTGCCAACAACCAAACTTGTCCATTTATCAGTTATATCTGAATTTTCTTTTGTAAATCTAATGTTTTTTTTCAGATGCTATTTCTTAATCATGGAGATACTTGTCTAAGTTTCATAACATTCCATGAAGGATAAACAAAGTTATTGATGTCATAAAAATTTAACCCAAGACTTTTAAGTCCATTTGTAAATTTCTATTATTCAGTTTATCATGTTTATTAGGGAAAATGAAAAAAATAATTTCAAAATATTGTTCTTGATACTGTCTTTTGATCATAAGAAGCATCTGTCAAAGTTTATCAAAATCTTATAATGGTTATTGGTGTTTGAAAAACTTTAATCTTAGACTGTATATCAATGTTAGATGCAGAAAAAATATGTCCATTTATCAATAAAACACGGAAAATGAGAATAAATACTTTTCAAATTTTCCTCTGAATACTGTTAAGCTTCTGTTCAAGTTTCATGCCTTTAACATATTTTAATTAATTCTTTGTTCTCACCTATTTTGTGCTTTGCTTTTCTAACATCAATGTAGTCATCTTCTGTGTCACTTGTCTACAAAACAACAATAATTATGTCATGCGAGTAAAATAAAATTATTCATGTTCACTCCTCTTATTCTACAGTAGGGGTCCGAAGAACTAGAAATTAATTTGGTGTGGCCTTTTAACATCTTGTTTCAAAAATATTTCTTCTTTTATGTTACAAATGTGGACACAGACTTGTGTTGTCTGATGGCGAATTTTGATAATGACTTGTGCAGGGGTGGATTCTTGTGGGTGCCAGCAGGCGCATTTGCACTCCAAAATCTAAAATTCTGTTGTGTTGTCTGGTGGGCAAATGTGGACACTGTTTCACATTGAAATAGTAATACTGCAGACACATCAGGAAGTCACAAAACATTTACAATGAAGGACAACTCTCAGGAGAAACACTTGAAAATTACTATGACTGATGTGGTTCTACAAATATGTTGCATATTTGATTTTGTCATGCCTAGACTCCCAAGACCAAACTGAAATTTAAAAGATTTAAATAAAAATAAAATTTGATCGAAACTTTGAAATATGAATTTAATGCAAGATAAAAAGGGTCAATACTTCAGAATTTCAGTGAAAAAGTTTGATAATGATAATAAAAATGCAATGAATAAATTTAGCATCTGTTTAGCCTTGTGAGTTTCATCTAATTTACATTGTTAAAAATGTAATCATTTGTCATGGAACGCATTAGTTGGCTCTGCATTTGGTATTTGTTTTCATCATGCCTGGACTCCTAAGGCCAAACTTAAATTTAAAGGATTTAAGTAAAAAATAAAAGCTGATCAAATCTTTTTAAATTTTATTTTAATGCAAGATATAAAAAGCAATACTTTAATACATCAGAATATTAGAGAAAATTTTTGGTAATCATATATATGATACCAAAAGTGCAATAAACAGATTTAGCGTCTGTTTGGCCTTGGGAGTTTTGTCCCTTTTACACTGGTTAAAATGTTATTATATTCGATGGGACTCATCAGTTGTTTCCCTACAACCCATACATAGTAAGTGCACCCCCTCTTTTTAACCTCTATAAAAATCTTTGAAGGAAAAAAGGCAATCATACCGCAATTCCTTATTTTTATATTAGTACTTTGTGGATCATGCATATAAAAGTTACTATTTCTTTCTGACCGATGGCTTTTTTCTCCTTTTTTTTTGTAATGAAAAAATAAACTGATTCCCAACATCAAAGAAAAAAATATTTTGATAGGGGAGAAGGGAAAAAAAATTCTGTTTCATACTCAGAGTATTTGTCATTAAATTTTCAAAATGTTTAGTTCTTTACAAAAATTCTCACTTTGTATGAAAAAAACCCAAATAATTTGATGCTTGCATGGTTTCATAATAAATTTTCAAAATGGAAAAAAAACCATATTAAACCCTTCCCCAAAGTAAAATGGTCCTTAATTTTGTTGTGTTGTATATATACATGTATTGGTATAATGATACATGTATATGATTGATCAATTGTTGTTTGCTTTATGTCCAGTGGAAAATACCTCATGCATGCTCAGGGAGAGAACAAATTAGCAATAAATACAATAGGAAGATTCTGTGCAAGGTAGGCCTACCAGGAAAGGAGGGGTGGATTTGGACTGCCACTAGAAATTAGCGATCAATGTTTGAAATGGGACAGAAATTTAGCCTTGCAACTGGCAACCTACAGAACCTCAAACAGTTGTTGCAATGATTCTTTAATATGTAGAGTTTGTTGCACTCTCTCAGCACGAAGCATCAGATTTAACATCCCCTTTCTGACCGCACGTTCCTGATATATGAATTCAAAAACCAAATATCACTTGTATTTACTAATAAAAATGTATTAATTTAAAAAGAGGGCAAATGAACCCAGGGTTAACAGACTCTGTGGGCGAATGGTTGTAGGGCAAAAATGTTATGTTTGGCGAACAATCCCCATTCCATGGTTATAGGTTATTTGTAATGTTTCTACTTATGCAACAATGTGGAATTAAATCTGCACAGAAAAATTATGGGATTATTTTCAAGGAAAAGAAATATTTACAAAATTGGTTTTGATTTTTGATGGAAGGTGGGAAAAGGGATAAACTTATAAGAATTGGTCAGTTGATGACAGAACTGTGAATCTGTGTGGTTAGCCTATATGTTGAAAAGGGGGGGGGGGGAGGGGGGTTATACTTGAAAGGGTAATCATAAATCGAATTTAGAAGATAAGGTCACAAACCAAAAACTGAGGACCGGATGTGATTACAGGGTACATGATTTACTTTGCGCCTGTCCAAAGTCAGGAGCCTGTAATTCAGTTATTACTATCAAATCTATCAACTCAAGACGACGAATACATAATAATGTTTTGCTTGCAAGGGAGGTAATTTGTGACACTAGATTCTGATCTCAAATCGATCGATAACCAGCTTTCAGTCTATTTATAGAAATATATGTGTATATCACTTCAGAATTGTAAGGAAAATATTTGCTCACCAAGACGTTAAGTGTTCAAGTTGTTAAAATTAACTTGTGAATGGGTGACCCATTTTGGAATTATAGTCATTTCGTACCCTAATCATTTTGTTCCCTCAATTTCGTACCTTGTCAAAAACCATTTCGTACCCTAATCATTTTGTACCCTCAGTTTCGTACCTTGTCAAAAACCATTTCGTACCCTGACCATTTCGTACCTTTTATTTATTTAATCAAAACTATTAAAGTTTCCATGTGCTTAATTAAACCAATCACATGTCTTAATTTAGTCTATATTAGGTACGAAATTAGCTACCAATTATTCCCAGCATGCATTGTCACTTCTAACCGCGAAGAGCCAATAAATATTTTTTTTGATATTAGAGTGTGTAATAAAAATAACTTGTTTTTTTCTAATAGAATAGACCGCCTCGGTGGTGTAACGGTTAGCGTGCTCGCCTCGAGTGCGGGAGGTCGTAGGTTCGAAATGCGGCCGGGTCAAACCAAAGACTTGAAAATTGGTATTTGCTGCTTCTCCGCTAAGCACGCAGCATTAAGGAGTAAGAGCAAAGACTGGTCGGCCCGGAGTCAGAATAATGTGTCCGGGTAGGGTGACATGTCTTCCTGCAAACTGTTACCTTGTGAGCTAGCATGTAAAAAATCCGGCTCAGAGTGTCGGTCTAGTACAAAGCAGGGTTAGTATTCATTTCTCATTATCATGCTCTCGTCCTGAATATGCATCTGACCTGCCACTGGACGTTAAGCAACCATCCATCTAATAGAATAAAGCGGAAAAGTGTATTTGTCACAAAAAAAAATAATATGTCCCACCCACTAAAGCATTCCCCCACTTAAGATAATGATTGTCAACTATATTTATTGACAAATTGGCACCAAAGTAACAACATTTGTTGAGGACCTCATAAGAAGGATCTCTACTAAGTTTGGTCAAATAATGACAAATTCTGATTAATAATTCTCAAACAGAAGACAACAAGAGTGCACATGCTGAAATGTCTCGCCTGCTTTATATGATTTATTCTATGTTGTAAGTCCTAAAGATAAAGTTTTACAACAAGTATAACATAAACTTAACATTATCAATGATCCATTAAAATAAGGTAAAGGTTAAGGTCAGATAAACCAAGCTAAACAGACATGTACACCTTACAATCATTACATGTATACACCAAATATAGTTAACCTATTGCTTATAGTATACAAGAAACATACCAAACCAAAACTTAATATTAATCAATGAACCATGAAAATGAGGTCAAGGTCAGATGAACCCTGCCAGACAAACACGTACATCTTGCAATCATCCCATATATCACTTATAGTTGGCCTTATTGCTAAATTATAGTAACTGAGAAACAGACATAACCAGGAAAACTTAACATTGACCAATGAACCATGAAAATGAGGTCAAGGTCAGATGAACTCTGCCAGACAGACATGAACACCTTATAATCATTCCATACACCAACTATAGTTGACCTATTACTTATAGCATTAGAAAAAAAAAGACCAAAACACAAAATTTTAGCATTGACCAATGAACCGTGAAAATGAGGTCAAGGTCAGATAAAACCTGCAAGACTGACATGTACACCTTACAATCATTCCATACACCAAATATTGTTGACCTAATGCTTACCGCATCTAAGAAACAGACCTAAATCATCATGATCATGTAACTTTAACCTTGATCACTGATCCATAAAATGAGGTTGAGGTCAGGTTAACCCTGTCTGACAGACATGTAGACCTTGTCAGGAACCTATATACCAAATATAGTTATCATTTTACTCATAATCATGATAATACATTTGTAAGTAAGAAATTCATGTAACAAAAAAACTACTTTTTTTTCAAGCAGTCGCTGAACCATGAAAATCAGTTCAAGGACAATAGACATATGACCGACCGAATATTTGTAATATAAGGCATCTATATACAAAGTATGAAGCCTCCAGGTCTACTAACCTCCGAAATATAAAAGCCTAATACAAATAGTTAACGCCGCTGCCACTGCTACTGGATTGTAATCCCAATGTCTCGCATACCAAGACTTTTTGTTGCAGGAGAGACAAAAATGTCATTCCCAATAGGATTTCAGGGTAACATGGTAAACTTTGACCTCGGTTGGTGGCTATATGTATTTACAATCTTCAAACAACTACTAAAGTAACAACACTTATTAACTTGATTAAGACATCTCAATGGGAACATATCTACCAAATTTTAGTTCAATCCAGCATGGGTTCTCAAGAAGATCTTAGAAAATCGGCCAATAAGAAAATTCAATTAGCATGATTAGTCCTGGCAGACATGCTTTTAGACGAAACAGCACCAAAGTCACACAAATTGGAAGGGACCTCATGGGGATAATCTCTACCAAGTTTGGTCAAATTCTGTTAATTAGTTCTCTAACAAGAAGGAGTCGAAAACCCTAAAGGCCTGCATGGGGATAACACTAGAAATTGTGTATACAATATTACATGGATAGAAGACACAATGATCTGTACACAAATGGGCAAGACTACAATAGCAACAAGGCAAAAACAGCAACTTCCATAATCACCATGATATACCTATTTGACTGTCCGCCGTCTGGTCTGATCTGTATTCCAATCCACCATGTCCATCGATATCTTTCTTCCTTTTCCTCAACCTACGATATAATAAGTATCATGCTAAAATCCAAATTCTAATACATGTACGACATTCTTCAAAGTTAACTCTTTGTCTTTTTATGAACAAAACAGCATTTAATATGTAATATAACCAGAAATACTGTGAGCAAAGCTCACTAAATGATACCCCCTGCTCCCCCCTATGTGATGTTTTGCTATGGGAAACCCCAAAATTCATTTGAATTAAAATTTAAAATAGAAGGTGCACAATCATGGTGGATAACCTACGTCATGTTTTCGAAGTGTTTGCAAAATCTGATTTCTGTTCCAAATGATTAATATGGCATAAAAAGGGGTCTTGCCATTTATTAGTTTTTTATTTGCTTCAGGAGAACTTGAGATATCGTGTCTTAAAGTGGGCTTTGTTTACCTTTTTCGTGGGTTCCTTGTCCGTCAAATCATGTGACAATGACGTAGGTTATCCACCATGACAATAATCTGTGAAAGTTTCATTGAATTTTATTAAGAAATACTGACTAAAGTCAATAAAGTCAATAAAGAGTTAAATATAGGTCACAGCGACTTACTTTGCCTGGATGCTGACTTACTACCCCTGTACATAAAAGTTTACATGATCCTACAACTTATAGTTGCTGAGATATAAACATTAAACTGAACCAGTCATTGAAGCATGAAATGTGGGTCCAAGTGACCTACTTTTGCCTGATTGCTGACTTACTACCCCAGATACATCTGCATACATATGAGGTTCTATGTGTACATTCCTTGGAGGAAGTTCACCAAGCTATCCGTGAACATGAGTTGTCAAAATCAACTAAATACATGTATATCACAGTTAAAAAAGAGAAGATGTATGGAAAGGAGGACTTTGGTAATTATAGCTTTTATTAGGGTATTTATATATAGAAGTGTTATCATTTATCAGCAAAAAGTTCCGGTTTTGGCAACTAAACAAGAAAAAAGACAAGATAGTACAGCGATTCATGTTGCCATACAAAAGCAGTGATAAGGTATCAATTTGATGACAGAAAAATAGACGCAATCAAGATTTCATTCCAAATCCATATAAAAAAAAAACATCTTCTGAAAGTGTTACTGCATCTGGAAAATTTGAGATAATGACACTTTTCCTGTTTTATAAAAAAACTAATTGCTCTTTTTTAGAACAAGAGAAAAGATGAAATATTTATTTATTACTTCTATGTACAAATGATGTAAATCAGATGTAATCGTCTCATATCTTCGGGTCTGACGACCCTCAGATATGAGAAGCTTACATCTAATACATACATGTAACAAAAAATGACCGGTCTAAAAAGAGAAAGGAAATACCATAGGGCAATAAAAAAAACAGACAACACCATAGTGAATAAGAAAAGCAACAGAAATACAGACAACTTAATAAAACACTTCACAGAAAACTAAGATTGAGCAGCATAAACCCTTTTATAAAAAAAAGTAGGGGTGGACAGGTACTCTGGGAGTGTAAGCAGTTCCTGCGGCACTAGTGGCACCTGTTGTGTTGCTTATGTATTCACATTTCTAATTTAGATATATTTCAGCAATGAATGTTATTTTACCTACAGTCATTGCAATAGAAACCAAACAATATTGGTAGGTTTAAAAGATATAGATATATATTTACACCAAGATGTCGTTAAATGAAATTGGATATCCTGCATTTATCATGCTTTTCTATAACATATGGTCAAATCGCTGAAAGACCCCCCTCCTAAATTATGGAAAACTATCATTCTGCATTCACAATAATATCTTGGTGTAAATTAGATTCACCCAATCGGGCTTACGCGCTCATAGGTGTATCTAATACATATATATAAAATTCTAACCATATAATTGAACAGATATATATCATGTATATCATGTTCACATATTTTTTACTTGTTTAATTGATTGATTGTTGGTTGCTTAACGTCCAGTGGCAAATATTTCATGCATGTTCAGGACGAGAACAAATTAATTAACAATAAATATAATAGGTAGGTCCTGTAATAGAGGCCGTCCGGGATGAAGGTCAGGGAAATTTAGACTGCCCAGGGGTGTGGAAATATTTGTGAGCACTTGTCCCTGGGCAAGTTAAACTGTAAATTTTACTTGTCCAGAAAAAAAGTTATTTGCCCTGAATTTCCCTATAAATATTGAAGTATTTTACTATGAGCATGTATGATTCTTACTAGAAAAATAGAATGATGTGGTATGATTGCATGCAATGAGACAACTCTCTACAGTCAGAGCTCAGACATAAATAAGTCTAAATCTGCTTTTGACTCGTAGAGGTCTATATTTGTAGGTTTCAAGATTTGTCTCCCTTTAATTTAAGACAAATTATGACTTCAATAAGTCAATTAGTGTTAATTATAAGCAAGAAATATTTGACCTGAATTAAAAAGTTGCAAATATTGATTCCTACAAGTCGATAAGTTACCAAAATTGGTCAACTTCAAGACCCAAGCATATTTATAAAAAGGTCATGCATCTACATGAAATTATGACAACATTGCTTTGTCTTCTAAAGAAAAATATGCATGAGAGCCTAAAAAAACGGAGATAATGTTTATTTACTTTACAATTCAACCATCTATAACCACACAAAATGAGGAAATAATCTTATGTTAAGTAAAAATGTTCAATTACATGATTATATACAGATAGCTCAGGTCCTTGTGAACTCTCAGACAGGTTTATGATGTCATAGGTGGTGCACTTTGGCCACCAATTAAAATTAAGTCTTTTCATAAACATAAATAGACCTAAACAAGTCTGTCATTTTCTGACTTAAATAAGTCTGAAAATGAAAACACATTTTTATAATAAATACATTTTTTTACTTCTGTAAGTCAAAAACAAAAAACGACTTGTTTATGTCTGAGCTCGGACTGCTCTACCAGAGACCACATGACGTAGAATTTAACAACTATAGGTCACCGTAAAACTGTTTTGTATTACAATATAAATGATGTTTGTGATATTGTTTGTGAATAAATAAAAGGTGGTATGGGGTTAACATCAATCAGATAGAAACCCAAAAGCAAAACAACCAAAAGACATCTAGAGGGCAATGTTTTGTCCATTTCCCCAGACACCTGTTTAATTTTACTGTTTTCTTTCATCAGACAAGCTTGGTGTTTTGCAGAACATTGATTTTGGTGTCCCTTCTATCTATTAATTTGCCAACAAATAAGTAAGACTTTTGATCAGCAAGATGTAGGCGTTTCCTACAAATTGTGCAAAAATTTAATTTATTTTCAGAAGTTTCTCACTGAAGAGCCACGAGGTCTGGAATTCTCGCTTCTGTTTTTTTTTTTTTTTTTTCATATTCCTTGTCTTTCTCATCCTGTGTTTTCCGTTTTTTACTCGACTCGTCATTATTATTTTCATTCTTTTTGTCTTGATCACCAGGTCTTGGTGTTTTTTATCAGGTATTTATCCATCTCGATAAGACCCATGCAATCATGAAAAATTAAAATAACATTTCTGTGAGATGGCAAATAAAACCTAATCGACGATCCCGGGTCAATGGACAAAGATATCGCAATGTTTATGAGACCCGGGTTCGCATACTTAGGCCATAAAAAAGAATCTGTTTGTTTGCCCTAACCCTACCTACCCAGAAAATAGCTGCCTACTCAAAATCTTTTATTGTCCTGATGTGAAAAAGTTTTTTTTAATCAGATAGGCATGAAGACTAACAAACATCTGACACTTCAATTTCTCTTTGCAGAAAAAAAAAAAGAAAATGCCTACCTACCTACCCACTGTCTCTACCTTTGGGTAGGGTTTGGGCAAACCAAAATATTTTTAAATGTGGCCTTATTTTTATTAATTTTGGTTATCGATCTATTTCCGTTTTTTTTTTAATACTTGTCATCATGAACATTGATGTTTTGATTTAAATATATGTTTTTCACGTGTTGATCATTGGTTTCTTTTACATAAAATAATACATCTTAATAAATTATGAAAATAATTCTATATTTTTGATTAAATGAATTTTGTCAACTGTAATTTTTTACTTGTCCACGGGCAACCCAGACAAAAACAAGAGTGCACACACTGAAATGTCTCGCCTTCTTTACTAACCATTGATTTTATGTTGATAGTCCTAAATATAAAGCTTTAGTACAAGTAACACATAAACTTAACATGATCCAAAAAAATGAGGTCAAGGTCAGATAAACCAAACGAGAAATACATGTACACCTTACAATCATTCAATAAACCAAACATAGTTGACCTATTGCTTATAGTTTCTAAGAAACAGTCTTAACCAAGAAAACTTAACATTGACCAATGAACCATGAAAATGAGGTCAAGGTCAGATGAACCATGCCAGGCAGACATGTACACCTAACAATCAATTTATGCATTAAATATAGTGGACCTATTGCTTATAGTATCAAAGAAACAAACTTAACCATGAAAACTTAACATTGACCAATGAACCATGAAAATGAGGTCAAGGTCAGATGATACCTGCCAGACAGACATATAGTCCTTACAATCCTTCCATACAACAAATATAGTTGATATATTGCTTATAGTTGAAGAAAAACAGACCAAAACACAAAAACTTAACACTGAGAAATGAACCGTGAAAATGAGGTCAAGGTCAAATAAAACCTGTGAGACTGACATGTACATCATAAAATATTTCCATACACCAAATATAGTTGACCTATTGCATATAGTATTAGAAAAAAAGACCAAAACTCAAAAACTTAACTTTGACCACTGAACCATGAAAATGAGGTCAAGGTCAGATGACACCTACTAGTTGGACATGTACACCTTACAATTATTCCATATACCAAATATAGTAGACCTACTGCTTATAGTATCTGATATATGGACTTGACCACGAAAACTTAACCTTGTTCACTGATCCATGAAATGAGGTCGAGGTCAAATGGAAATTGTCTGAGGCATGAGGACCTTGCAAGGTACGCACATACTAAATATAGTTATCCTATTACTCATAATAAGAAAGAAATTAACATTACAAAAAATGTTGACTTTTTTTTCAAGTAGTCACTGAACCATGAAAATGAGGTCAAGGACAATTGACGTATGACAGACAGTAACTTCGTAACATAAGGCATCTATATACAAAGTATGAAGCATCCAGGTCTTCTAGCTTCTAAAATATAAAGCATTTAAGAAGTTAGCTAACGTCGCCGCCGGATCACTATCCCTATGTCGAGCTAGGCTCGACAAAAATTACTTGTCCGGTTGTTCAAATGGACGAGTCGGGCATAGCATTTCCACACCCCTGCTGCCACTGGAAAATGAGGGTATATTGGATAGGGACAGAAATTTTGCCTTGCAACAGGCCACCTACGGACCCCTCAAAGAGTTGTTAAAAGGGTTCTTAACGTGCAGAGAGCGTGGCACTCTCTCCACGAGGCATCAGATTTAACGTCCCCTTCTGACCGGACGTGGCTGCATACTTGATACATCCCGCACAGCCAAATGGCCGCCCCACTTTGGCAAGGGTTTTACTGCCGGTCGGAAGAAGACCTGTAGTGACTATATTTCTATTCCCCATGCAGTCACCCTTGGGGCATTATTTGTTTAATTACACTGCATATCAATATGGATGATTAAGTTAAATATTTGATTATATACCATAATTCTTTCACTAACTGTATTTAATAAAACACACAAATGATCAGGCATTGTGTGAAGGGTAAAAAGGCAAATACCATGGCAAAGAGGGTAAAAAAGACATATCCTTGTGCATATACCCAGGAAGTGATGGCAAACTAAAACATTATTATGACGACCTTGACACTTCATTGAATCAGCGTGCTAAAACCTATTATACGATCCCCACCTCACTGATTTTAATTTCTTGAAATGACTAAAATAATTGTAATTTGCATACAGTGGGGACTATCAGTGGGTTACAAATAAAACATTTTATAATTTTATTACTTTCCTATGGTCCATGTATGTTTATTTTAAGGCAACAACCATTTTCTTATCTGGGGGGGCCTGGGATTTTCATTGTGTTCATAATTTTTTTTTCAGAACCTTCCTCCGATAAAATATTTTTTTTCTTATGAGAAGGAAAGCAAAATTTTTTTTTCCTATCATGTTTTTCACAAAACCATAAAAAAAATTCAGCTACAGTGCCAAATCTAAATTTTTTTTCGGTCAGCTAGGCCATCAAAATATTTTTTTCCAAAAAATCCCAGCCCCCCCCCCCCCCCCCCCGATAAGAAAATGGTTGTTGCCTAAGCAAAATACAGGATGGACATTGTATTCGTTGACCAGATTTGAAAGCCATTTTTTATACTTCTCTGAATGTTAAACAAGTTCAATCTGGAGGCAAATTATGAAATAGTAATTTCAATATGGAAAAGTTTTTAAGGCTAAATAATTTAAAAAAACAAAAGAAACTAAATAAAAAAGCAAAACCAGAAACTGAATATAAAAAAGCCTTTGGTGCAGAACTTTTCCACACAGTGTAATATTCATGTTTTTATAAAATAAAAAAGTGACAATTATAGTAGAAGAGGCTGCTCAAAATCCAGCATTTGTACTAAGATTTATCCATAATCATTGAGGTAAGGAAGTCTAGATCTGGTTATGGTATAAAAATAACTTTTGACTTGTCAGCTGTGGTAAAAATCTATTTGATACCCCTCTCCCAAGTTAATCAAAAGATAAGTTGACTGCTCCCTTATATAACTGAGACTACTATATGTTAATAGTAATTTAAATTGTCAAGTTACCAGTTATGGATAAAACTAATGTACATAAGTACATACATTTAGTAAGTGGACTTGGAATAATATCTTTTAATAATTATGTATGAAAAAGACGGTGAGTCCCAAAAGTAAGTCACTCTCCAAGCTGGCAAGTGGAATTTCAATTTGGTGAGTTGAAATGAAAAGCTGCTTGTCAATTTGGCGAGTATAGAAAACAAAAGGTTTCACACACTGCATTTGTACAATCAATTCCAAGTAACTTCAATATAACATTTATTGAACCATACCATGATGTTTTATTCAGTTGGTGAAGTGTTTTAAATTGTTCATATGCATCTTTTAATAGAGGAAAATTACTTCCTAAATTCTCTAATCGATACCAATACAATAGCATCGCTTTAATTATATTAAAATAAATTGGAAATCTAACCCAACATTTGTTGTTTTTTTGTGCACACCAAGTATAAATTTGTTAAATTTAATGTGAAGTTTCTCACCTGGTAAACATGAATATAATTTTTCAAGAGATACATCTTCCTTCTTACATTTAGAGGAAAGAGAATTAAACATTCCCCATACTTCACTACCATATAATAAAATAGGTTTCACAGTGTGATCAAAAGCATGAATACTTGTTTTGATGTTAGGATTTAGAGATAAAAAATCTTTCCGCAATTGATAATAAGCTTTTAAGGATACTTGTACAGTTCACTTTGAGCATAACTAAATGAGCCAGATGAGCTTAAATATAAACCCAGGTACTTGTATTTTGAAACACATTCCAGGTTTATATTCTGGTATGTGTATTTACCTGTGACCCAACCTTGCAAGCCTACCAATGGGTCTCAACAAGTGAGAGAATCCACACCTGGAGGCGGGCTTCAGCTGGCCCCTAAACAATAATGTACAATAGTTCAGCGAATTTTTTTTTCGTTATATTTATAAAATAATATTCTCAAAGTGAAAACAAAATTAGTAAAAGAACTGTATACAATGTAAGACAATATAGTCGTATATTATAACGTGCATGAAAGAGTTATTTATGGTCTTTTCTGAGCCCTGCATCAAACAAGGGTTGGTCTTTGTTACTTGAATTGGACAGAAAATTTCTACAAACATAAAACAATGCATGCATAATCGGATCCTGTTCCTTATATTTAAGCCTTGTAATGTATGCAGCATTCTCAGCGATGGATTTCGTAAGTCATTCCCGCTGCTTACTTCTGGAAACCTTGTTTACAACTACATGTACATTTTTCATGTACATAGATCAAACACTGGTCATACTCTGTGATCAGACAAATCCTTTTTACTATTAAAATGGAAATAGAAGGCTATAACTGCAAACTGCTCATCAAATGAGGTCCATGCATTCTTGAAATAAAAGAGCCACAGTGACTGACCACATATTTTCATTAAATCGCTTTCATACTTGAGAATGGGAAATTATGTAAGGGTAGCAAATTCATTCATATTTCAAGCCAATCCTGAACAAAAATTTCTGCTATTTATATAGCTATACAAATTTGGGAAAAAATAGCAAGCCCTGTTTGAAAGTTACCAGCCGTGCATCCTCGGGCAGGCTGGTAAATTTACCAACTCTGGTAGAGGGCATACTCCCCTCCCCTCTTTTGATCTGAAACAGTATCATTTTTTGCATAAAATGTCATAAAATCGTCCAAATTTGTTTTGCATCACTCCACTCGGCGTGAAAATCTACCAATTTTATAGGCAATTCATGGAATTACGCCCCTTTGAAAAAAGCTGAATCCATCATCCGCCCCTGCCTGGGACTGTAGTTATGGTCGATCGGCAGCTCATGCTAAATTTTAGAGGCATTGCCCTTCCTAAATAAAAAAACATGAATGGTAATGAAAAGTAAAACGTGATAAAATGTTGAAAAAAAAGTACCTTGCTCCTCCAGACGCCGCCATCTTGTTCCGATTTTGAAGCATGCGCACTGGTGATATTGTGTTATAGCACGACCACAAAAATGGCGTTTAATAATATCGATGTACACACATAGTTCACACTTCCTCATAATAGACGGCGAGTGAGACTTGCTTATTTTTTCTTTTTCTTTTATGTTTGATTGAAAATTAAAGCAATTTAGCGATAATCATACAATTTTCATCTGAGGACGTCCTTAGTTGTGAGTGAAGTCCTCACTTACTGGTGTGTATACTTACACATGTCCTCATTGACATACATGTACCAGAACACACACACACACACACACACATTCACACACACACACACACACACACACATACTCACACATACTTACACAAACTTAAACATACACAAACAATTTGCATGTGTGTGAATGTGTATGTGTGTATATGCATGTGTGTGAATTTGTATGTGTTTGTGTATATGTGTGTGTATATGTGTGTGTTAATATAAATGTATATGTGTGTAAATGTGAGAATATGTGTGTATATGTGTGTATTTGTAAGTATGTCTATGTATGTGTGTTTCTGTGTCTGTGTGTGTATGTGTGTGTTTTTTTCTCATATGCCTCATACAAAATGTATTTGAATAACACAAATATACAAAACAATGATGAGCTATTTGTTTTGCAGAGACCATGATCACGCCAGAAGATTTTTCTGAATTTTGGCAGAGTGATGATGCCAGTGAGGCGGAGGCGAAGTTAAAAGGGGAGATATCCGAAACAATACAACAAGCTGACTTCTATCATGTGAGAAATTACCTTTTGCTTAGGCTGTTACAGTCTAATACGCCAATAGAGAAGCAGTAGTAAACATTATGACTATAATATAAGTTTAATGGGAGTAAAAAAAAAGATCAACATAAAACATGTTGTGTTTTTATATACAGTAATGTGATACAAAGTTAACAGACACTGCAAATAGTTATCTTTTATGTTTAATTTATAATGCAAAATAAATTACCATCTTTATTCCAAAAAGTTACCATTTTACCGTAAATGACTTTACGGTATCTGGTAACTAAAATGCGGTAGTTGGATACATAGTTACCAGCTACCGCAAATAAGTTAACAATTACCGCAAAACGTTACCATTTCACTACAAATGAGGAAACGGTATTTTGCAACTTTAATGCGGTAATTGGATACAAAGTAACCAATTACCGGAAAAAAGTAAACTTTTACCGCAAAAAAGTCACCAACTACCGCTTATGGGTTACCTTGTACCGCAAAAGGGTTACCAACTACCGTTTATTGGTTACTTTTCACCGCAAAAGGGTCATTAAATACCGTCAGTATTTGCGGTATATAGTAACTCTTTTGCGGTATCTGGTAACTAAAATGCGGTAGTTGGATACATAGTTACCAGCTACCGCAAATAAGTTAACAATTACCGCAAAACGTTACCAATTCTCCGCAACTTTAATGCGGTAATTGTATACAAAGTAACCAATTACCGGAAAAAAGTAAACTTTTACCACAAAATAGTCACCAACTACCGCTTATGGGTTACCTTGTACCGCAAAAGGGTTACCAAGTACCGTTTAATAGTTACTTTTCACCGCAAAAAGGTTACTAAATACCGTCAGTATTTGCGGTATATAGTAACTTTTTTACGGTATTTGGTAAGGGTTAGGGTTAGGGTTAGGGTTAGGGTTTAGGGTTAGGGTTAGGGTTAGGGTTAGGGTTAGGGTTAGGGGGTTTTTACTAGACTGCAACTGAGTTGCACTAAGGGACATAATTTGTTATGAGTACAGACATAGCTGATATGAAATGTATACAGAAAATGAAATTCAATTGACAATGTTGTATTTGTGCATGTGCATAAATTTTAATGGAATAACGGCGACATGATTTGTAAGCTGCATGACGTCATAGGACGTAACATAATTGTTTAAACTTTCATACATACATACGTACATACATACATAGAATCAGACATACAGACATACAGACATACAGACATTCGATTCTCAAATTTATACATATAAACATGGAGAGGATATGCGCAGAGCGATATGCGCAGAGTTATATGCACAGAGTGATATGCGCAGAGCGACCAGCGCATATACAGAGGCGCTAATAATGCGCAATCATGTTATTTGAATAATATATGATATATATATATATATATATATATATGTAAACAAAATGCAGAGCTACATTTTAAAATGGTTTATAGGATGTATGTACACTATATATTTCTGTGGTCTGGAGGACATATGGTGAGGTGATGGTACGTGCAAAGTAACTTGCGCATACACAGATGCAGTGATTAAGAAATGGGATGCACAGAGGCACCGTTTTTATACTGTATATTTATACTCTTTAGGTCTGTAGGCCATTGTGTATGGGTGGAGTTACGCAGAGTCGCTGCTTATGTGCACTCATGTCATTTGGTTAATATGAGGTGTATATAT